CGTAAATCGTTTGCTATCAGGCGAATGTTAGCGGATTCTTTAGGCACAAAGCGAAACTGCTTATATGCGACTCGGCTTCGCTCCTGCCCAGCCATTTGCACAACACAGTAGCGACTTTGTAGATCAGGAAATTTTCTTCGTTGCATAAACAGCTAAACACTTTGAGTATGTACGAAAAGGTGATCCGTTGTGAGCGTGTCTGAAATAGTTCTTGCTGTAGTTTAAACGAAATTGAATTTCAGATATACATTCAGCATCCCGCTGCTTTCTAGTCACTTAAATCTAATCGGGTGGGCCAGTGTCCGGGATCTATAGAACAAAAGGATAGGATAAAGTTTATTTCTGTGGTCTGTTTTTCCATTGTAGACTACGTGAATAATATAATAATACATAATTAGGAGAGAAATCAAAGACTACTCGCTATGTTTGCCAAATGGGTGTAGGTTTGGTCATTAATAAAAGGCCCTTCTGTTTGATGAACCTGGAAAGGAGATAGCATCGCGCCATAGGTCTCATGAAATGAAGGGCGCCACAAGTGGCTGCAAATTATCTCGGGTTCGGCACAGTGCATTATAGCAGTTATTAGTATGCAATAGTTAAGAAGTAACTCACCATTTTTAGGAACCATGGTGAATGAGGAAACGTTTCTGCGCAAGTAATGGACAAGAAGGGATCCTAAATCGATAATTAGCCCTTGCCTACACGCTTAGTACCCAGTACTTAGTTACCTTTAGGTTTATAAACCATTCTCCAAATAAACGTAGGAGAATCGAGCCATCCGTTTCGCTTAACAGCCTGTACCAACGAGTATATAAGCCACCTGTATTCAGTGCATCCTGAAATACAAACGCAGGCATATTGTATAAATTATTTAAACTTTTAAGAAACGATTCTATATATGAGCTAGTCTACAAGAATATTCTTGAATGTTTTGATTCTGGACTCATGATTCATCAGCAGGCTGTTTTTTTTTGTTGCTCGACTAGTATCAGAGAAGGTAAGGATAGTATCAGTGTGGTTAAGGAAATGTGTCGGCTGTTAGTAAAACCGTTTGTTGAGTTGTACTTTTGGATTTTCTATTTATGCATAAAAGCAGTGCATTGATAGATACCTCCATTTTTACTGGTATGTATAATAATGCATTGTTGTTTACTGGATCAGAGTTTCTACGATTGTTTCAGACGTTCATCTATGCCGTATCGAAAAGTAGCTTTGGTATTTCGATGAACTGAAGGTAGCTGGACACCCAAGAATTCCTTCCAAAATACCACATCATGTTTAGGGGTGTTGCATTCGCCATATTGCTCAAACTGCTGTTTCAGACGAAATACCTCTCTGGCAAGTTCGTAGTGCTAACCCGTTAATCAAGGAAGAAGTTACTAAAGTAACTGAGCACTTTTCCTTAAAGAGACTACCCTGTTAAGTTCGCGTAGGCGATAGTTCTTCTCTGTTGACAGAAAATAATGAACACCATTTGTCAGTATCCGTACGGCAATAACGGCATGTACCGCCAAAGAAATCCGACAGGCAGAACATTGAGAAAGATCGACCTTGCAAATGGAACAGTAGATTTGTTTAACACGCTTCATGGAAGTTTCCTAACTTCGCCAACATATATTTAGAGTAGGTACCAATAGAATCATTAGTAGATAATATAATATTAGTAGTAATCTAAAATTTTATTACTGTAAGTGCGAATGATTGATGCTGTTTATCTTACTACTGTCTCAACGGTCTTGAGATGCTAAGAAGTTTGTCGAATTTTCCTGTAAAAAATTACTTGCTTCACACATGATAAACAGTTGCAAACGACAAACACGACTGACTTTCAAGTTATTCACATGCTGAACGGCTGCGGTACTGAGATTTTCTAGGTCGTCAAGCGTTTGCGAGAAGCTTCTTGCTGACCGAAGTTCTTGTCGTTTGCTTTCGAGCTTTTTTTTATCATCCACGGAAAAATTGTTAAGCGATTGACCATTGCCTGCTGTGCCGACTACGGCATCGTTGCGAAAGGCACTAAACAGGAATTCGTCCAAGTCCACGTTATCAAAGCTTCGTTTGACTTTTCCCGCCACGTTAATCCCGTTCAATTCAAGCAGTAGCTCGCATATGACGAAAACAATCTATAAAAAGAAAACAACCATTTGTTTTTTGCTGAATTGGCCAAACTACCCTGTACCTTTTAAAAATGTCACACAACACTATAAAAAATGTATTCAGTAATTAATGGATTAGTTACTGATAATAATTCCTTGTACATTATGCATGAACTTCGTATCATCAATCTATGATGAACATCATCAATAGCCTCTTTCGATTCACTGCTGGATGAACGTCTCCAGGATCTTACCATAAGCTTGTGTTTTCTGCCATTTTTAAACATCTTCATTCAGCGCCTTCTTTCTTTCCATTTGACTACTCATCTGCAGATCTTTCTAAGATCCGTTTACTCTCTCTTCGAACCAAGTCTATGTTATATATGTAAAATGTTTACGTTTGAAATGGAAGCTGCAGCAGTGGACAGACAGATAATGGTAGTTTTACAGTTCTTAAGCTATCAAGGTTCAGGGATATAACTTGTATATTAAACTTTATAATAATTTACTTAGTTTGAAAGGAATTAACTCTGCCGTTTCCGGTACCTTCAGTCGGAAGACTACCACCCTTCCACTGACAGTGACTCTATCTGCGAGGTTGGGTTGTACCAGAGCACAAACACCAGCTTGAACGCTAGTCATGAAATCGACGCCTGAGTAGAACAGCTTCCATCCACTGAGCTTCATGAGTCCAGAGCCTGGGCGTTTTGTTGACGAGAGTCCAACAACGTCGAGTTGGTCTTCGTGGCCTCATCAACTAATTCTTGATCTTTTCCTCTGAGTGAGGATATGTTCCAATTTCCGACTTTAAGCTCTCATTGGTGGTGTCGTTTCCGTGGAGCCTTTTCTGACGTGCTGTAATGGCATCGCGCTGTCTGCCTCCTC